GTGTTGGTATAAAAATTTAATACCACCTTAATACTTCGTTTGGTTAGCAAATCAGGTATAAGTTATTCCAGGATTAAAATCAACACCGGAATAACTTATACCTTATAGAGGGTGGGGTAATTAGCACCGATATAACTTATATATTCTTCTTACAAATTATGCAATTGTCATATTTAATACAACATACCAAATAATGGATAAAAAATAATCCCAGCATAACTAATTCCAGCATAACTTATCTCAGCATAACTTATACTAGTATAACTTATCCCGGTATAAGTCGTATTCAAACCAAACGACCCCTATGTTTATACACTTTATTTACACCTCTAATGTTCCATATAAGCCAAGTCATTGAGAAGTTGTATTACCTCCTAAATCAGGAGATTTTGCTTGTCTAGTTCTCTGATCCTCTCTTTGCAATGACAAAATTTTCCCAGTCTTTGATTTGCTAGCCATAGCAGCACTCAACTGTGGAAAGTTAATCAAGTTCAATTCCGGGCTTGGCACTTGCTCCTTGACGTTAGAGGCATTCCTCACTGTTCCATCTAGAGTTGCTACATGACTTTGTGAATTAGTTTTTTGTTGTTGATGTTTGCCTTCATTAATAGTTAATCTAGGCTGAGCTACCTCAAGATGATCCAGTTGTTGTTTGTCCACAGTTTGGCTAGTTGATGGTATCTCTTAGGCTTCCATTCCTGAACCACCTTCTTTTAATCTCCTCTTCTCTTGTTCTGTATTTGCCTTTTCATCAAGTGTTGTTCAGGTATCTTCTTAGAGCAGATATGTCCTATAGTTAAGCATTGAGGACAGAACTGGGGCTTCCATTCAAATTCTACCTCCTGCTGAAATTTTTGTCAATTTGGCTCCATAACTGTAATTGTGTCAGACAGTGGTTTAGACACATTCACTTCAATTAGCATTCTAGCATATGAGATCCTTGTTTGCTTAATTGTACACTCATCAGCAAACAAAGGTTTCCCTAATGCGCTAGCAATTCTTTCCAAGGAACCACATCCCCAGCCACTCATAGGTAATTTTGGGAACTTAACCCACAGTGGTATATCAGTCATAAACTCCTGGCTAAAATCAAAAGCAGGAGTCCATGGTAATAATTGGTCGAGTTTGAATAGTATAAGGGCCAAAGAATAGAATTTCATTCATATCTTTAACATCATGAAATCGAACCACATAATAACCTTCCTTATGAAGGTGCAAATCCGGTGTAGCTAAGGTATTCCACATCTAGGATATGTACCTATAAATGAGGGAATACCCTCGTGTTTCTCCCATCACATAAGCAATAAGGGCATTCTTCCNTCTCAGTCATAAACTCCTGGCTAAAATCAAAAGCAGGAGTCCATAGTTTCAAAATAATTGGTCGATTTCAAATAGTGTAAGGGCCAAAGAATAGAATCTCATTCATATCTTTAATATCTTGAAATCGATCCACATAGTAACCTTCCTCATGAAGATACAAATCCGGTGTAGCTATGGTATTCCACATCTGGGATATGTACCTATGCATGAGGGAGTACACTGATGTTTCTCCTATAACATAGACAATAAGGACATTCTTCCACTTTTTCGCTTCCTTGTCTATCTCAGTTTTTTCTAGTTGTACTATAGTTTCTCCATTAACAATCTGTGGGGGGGGATAGGTTAAGGTCATACCATTTTCCGCAGCTCTATTTCCAGCAAATAACGAGTTTCATTTAGGTTTATTCACAATTGCCTCTTGCTCCGTAGGAATCTCCTGGTTTGCCTCCTTAATTTCAAGGTTGCTTTGTGTTAGGACTTTATCACCCTGTGTTTGAGTAGGTAAATTAACCACCGGAGCTTCAGCTATCTTTAATTGAGCTACACTCCCCGCATGAGTTTTCACTTGTATTGGTGTTTTATCCTCTTCCACCGGCTCCACCACCTGCCGCTTCTCGACTGTTGAGCTCTAGGATGGTTCCGATAAGGGTAGCTGTTCCATTGGAATTATGGTAGTTGTTTGTTTGGATGTTGAAGCATTCACTTTGGATTGAGCATAGCACTCCCAAAAGCAATTTGTATCTCTACTTAGGTCCTCCTCTTCCCCGACCTCGTCCCCTTCCCATAGGACTCCAGGGCGCACGTTAGACTAACCAGCGCCTAGAGAGAAGCAGGAGCGAATAATTTTCTTTTCTCCAATATGGCTTATAACATTTCAGCCAATAATTTTTGATAATTGGTTTAAGTCAGTGAAATAAATTTGAATTAAGTATTTTTATATTTTAATATCTGAGAATTTTTTTCTCATTTTATTTTCTTTATGGGTGTTGAAGTTAAGTATTAACTAGAGTCAACATTGCTATTTCCATGGATTCTTTCTCTTCAATACTAAGATTTTCTTGAAAAAATATCTTTCAATTTTTTTTCCATCGAGGATAGAAAGATAACAACAGATGGATTGTACATGGGAAAATATTGAACGCTGAAGACCAAGATCAAAATTAAAATTCAAATTAACAGGAGGACTCTAAACTAAGCGTTGTGCAGGAAGGGGAAAAAATCATAGCTCACCATATATTCATTGAAAGCTTCAAAGGTTCCACATGAGAAATTATTGGTAGTATTTTTATGGGAATAAATCAATGAGATATAATTGTCAATGAATATTTATTTTTTATTCATTCACTGACTGTGATTTTAATAGGAAAAAAATTCTAAGATGATTTACTGCACATATATAATCATCAGGTATGATACTATGTGATGTGTATGCGTTCATGTTCCTAACTTTAGTATTACCATTTGCTATTAAATTATATAGTACACTAATCTGCAAAAATATTTTAGAATGAATTTTATGTCGTTAAATATTGCATCCTACGTAAATTTCTTATATACTCTTTTAACAGGTTATTCAGATTACTCAATCATAAAATTGGTAATACTACAATTATTTCAATATACTAACTAAAACAATAATAACTAATGCCAGCACAAGATGTTTAATGTTTTAATTTTTAAAAAATTATCAAACACAAATGTTCACCATAATAGAGAGTACATAACATATAGTATATGTTATCATATTGTTATTATTTTGTGGGCCTAACCACCTCATATTCAACCGATCAAAATGACCATAATGTAGAGCGGATAATAAGACCATACAAAAATTAAAAATACCAAAGGAGTTATTACGCATACAATAACCATTTCAATTTGTATTATATTCTACAGTTATTTATCTTTCCTTTATTAATGATATCATGCGTATCCAATTAAAATTCTATTGTAGAGTACATGGTAATATCAGAAGTTGGAAAAGAGATGATTTGACTCAAGAACTTTCTTAAAGAGCTAGGGAAAGAGTATGACAATTGTGAGTTTTTCAGCGATAGCCAGAGTGCAATTCATCTTGCCAAGAATCTAGTGTTTCATGCAATATCGAAGCATATCCAACTGAGGTATCATCATATCCGAGAGTTGATAAGTGAAGGAAGTCTTTCCCTACACAAGATACCAGGATCGAAAAATCCGTCAAATATGTTAACCAAAATTGTCATTATTGACAAACAAAGGTTGTGCACTGCCTCAGTTAGCCTCAAGATTGATAACGTGAGGGCACCACACCAGAGAATAGCAAACCATTTTTTTTATTGATGAAACATGGGTTTGAGGGGGAGATTGATGGGAGCAAACCTTGTTGTTTGTAAAAGAAAGAAAAAAGAGAAGACGAAACAAAAGTGAAAAAGTCAAAGAAAGAAATAAATAAAAAAGAGAAAAAAGATATGTGAAAAAGACAACGGAAGAAAGGAAGTTGGAATGAAAAGAATGCAAAATGTGAATGAATTAAATTGATTTACTGGTGTCGTCCTACTGTCTGTTCACATTTTGCTGAAGATTTCATCTATTCCTCTGCCTACAAATAGTTGTAATACATCCCTCACATTCTTCTTTCTCTCTAAATATCAATACAATTATTTTATGTGTGGCCGTGGAGTAGGCGAAAATTATCAAACCACGTAAATCTTGTCTCGTGTTGTGCAATTTATTGCTTTTCTCCTTTAAATATTTTTCCTCATCTATTAGCCTAACACGCTTACCAACAATTAGTTCATGTCAAACTCTTCCTTAGTCCAACTTAGGGTTTACTACTAACCACAATGGAGTTCAATGGCAATATTTCTTAAGGGAAATTTTGACCTTTAATCCTTTGAAAACCTGATTTGGTCTTGGACGGGAGCTAGGGGGTTTCAATTCCTCTTCCCCCAAGTAGTATGAAGCTCTTAAAATTTTTAGTTATCTGGAATTCAGTGCTATAGAGTCAACTAATTAGACATTATTATAGGATTTAAGCACAAACAGTGCCTAATTTTGTTTCTAGCACCATAGCGTCGGCCTCCAAAGTGCCCGTGCCTAGCCAGCGCTGTAGCGCTGGAATTAGCTGAAAACCACTGTTGCTTTCCACTATGGCACTATTGTCCAAATGCAATAGCGCTCACTAGTTTAATTGTGGGAGAAGACTAAGCGTAGGAAAAAATATTGCTTAGAGTACTCTTTTAGTGTGCACACTAAGTGTACTTATATAGGGAATATTATGGTTAATTAATCTTAGAGCACCCCTTATGGTGGACCCAATATTTCCTACAAATATCATCCTAATTAACTCTGAGCTAAATCAAAATACTTTCCACCCATTGCAGTGCACTGAATTGAGCATCTCATATGATCAAACACAGTCAAATATAAAAAAAATCAATATTTAAGTACGTTACATAACTTAAGTGGCACAAACAAGTATAGAATGAGTGGGCGTATCACAGAAGTTCGAATATCACACAACTCAAAATATTTAATTCAAGTAGTCAAACTAAAACCAACCTATATAATCCAAGAAAATCTTGTACTCTGATGTGGGACAGTTCTGCTGTTTCGGAACTGGTGATGGCTACAGTGTAACATGCATTCCTGATCATCTTGTCTTGCTTGGACAAAAGATCTAGCAGGAACTGGAATCATCTTTACTCTTGCCCAATTAATCTATTCAACTTTGAATAAAACTGGGATTTTTTACTGGAATTGCGATATCTTCTATCATTCGGAGTAATATCAATGTCTTCACCACCTGGAGAGGATGGAGGCGAAAAACTCACTTCAAGATCTGCATTTCCCTGTCGACATTCTGATCCTGCATAATCTAAGATCAACTGTTTGGCCTTCTCCTCAGATCTTCGGCTAAGATTTCTACTAAGATCACGAGCTACTCTCGCTCCTTGAGCTAATTTATTGGTAGAACTATCCCCCTGTACACGTTCTGATCCATATTCTAACCTCAACTGTTTGGGCTTCTCCTCATATTTTAAGCATGTAGTGATCCAACGACTACATGCTAGCTCTTCAACATCAAAATTAATATCTTCACTTGTATGTTCCACATTGAGTACTTCTTCCCTCGCCTTGGTAAGGAATTTTCTCTGCCAGCAGCATACAGAAGGAATTTCAAAACAACTGTGAGAACGGATGAAAGTAATGAATCCGAAAGCAGACAAGCTAGATGTATTTGCACCTACATGCATATTGCTCATATGATTATATGTTACATCTGAGCCGTAGGTGGAAGAATAATCATCTTCTTCATCAACTTCACCTCTCATGTCGAAGTATTGCACTGCAAGTTGTAGATTGGCAAAGTCAATAGAAATGGGAAAGACAGCCCAAAAAAAGGACACAGCAAAAGTTTCTTAAGCTTTATGAGTTTTACATACCTCCGGTATTGTAGGCATGGGCGACCAGTATTTCATTTCCCATGCTTTTTTGTTCTTCAAGAATTTCCTCTACACAAGTGGCAGCAGCGTGGCTACAATGATGCAACTCGATCAATTCTAATGTGGGAATATCTCCAATCTCAGAAGCCATCTCCTTCAATTTATAGCAATGCCTTAAAACTAGACACTCAAGGCTAGGAAGACTATCACTGGTTGCTTTCCATTGCACCAAGTTTGTCATGAAAATGTGTAGCAACTTGAGTTTCTTGAAACCCCCTTCATTTAGATTCCAATTGCTCCCTTGAAATGCAAAATATTTTAGCTTGAGCACCTCAAGATTGGGTAATTTACCGAGAAAACTAATATCCTTCCATAGCAGATGTGTTGCTTCAAGTGTCAAATGCATTAGTTTTTCAGGGAAAGAGTTCCATTGCGGAGCAGGAAGCCTAGGGAAAAACTGCACATAAGGGGGAAGTGCTAGATGAATTCTTAGCTTCCGGAGATCAGATAGACAGATTAGACTGTCATTAAAATTAGACCATTCATTAAGATCTGGATTAATCAAAACTCCCAATGCCTTTACATTAGTGACGGCCATAAAAATTTCCTTCCAACTGGAATCAGCAGTTCGTAACGAATGAAGAGTTTCTAAGTATTCTATACCAAGAAAATTTTGTGCCTTGGGAGGAGCAGGCATGTACAATCTCCCTGGATTGAAATGTCTCAGACTTGACATCTTCCAAGTTTCCAATGGCAGGGTGTAATTCATTTTCCGCAACTGAAATAACACTCATCGTTTGTAGATTCCACAGATTGGATATGGACGCCGGAACTTCACTACCAGTGGTAAAACTAACATATCTCAACTGTACTAATTGTGTTATCTCATTGGGAAAACTTGGAAAGTGAATATTTTGCACGTCCAATACCCTTAGCAATTCAAAACGGGGATCTACTATTTTATAGCATCCAGAGTTCAAAAAAGAATGGAGCTCACCGAGGCACAAGATGGTCCGAACTGAATCAAAATTACCTTTCTCCAGTGCAAGACTTTGATTTTCTAAACCATCTGTGTGCAAACACAGTCGATGTTCAATCTCCATGCATTCTGCGGACATTTCAAAGCTTTTAGTCATGACATGAAAGAACTTCTCAGATTTTCCTTCTCTCAAGCATAATTGCCGAAGGAGATCATGAATTCTGCAACTTCTAATTTTGCCATTCGCTCTTCGTCTACTAACTATAATCAAACTTCTGCTAAATAAATCCTCTAAACACTCTTCTGCCACCTCTTCCAACTTTTTATGACTACTTGGCTTCAGGAAACCTTCAGCAACCCAAATTTTGATCAACTTATCCACATGGATTTCTTTATCTTCAGGAAAAGCGCCCATATAAAGGAAACAAGCTTTTAAGCTACAAGGCAAGTAATTATAACTCAAAGCTAATATTGCTAAACACTGCTCAGAGGTTGAACCTTCATGTGATTTCATGCTTTCAAGAACTTTTTGCCAATCCTTATATGTCCTACTGATCTTGGGGAGAAGCCCGGCTATGACAACGAGAGAGAGAGGTAATCCTTGACATTGTTGTGCTATCTGCTTTCCCATTGACTCCAATCGAAGAGGACAGACTACGATACCAAATACCTTGTCGGCCAATAGTTTCCAACTATTTTCCAGATTAAGGAAAGGCATGTTAAAAGTGTAACCATTACCAGCAGACATTGCTACTTCTGAGAGCCTCGTTAACATGATTCGACTGCCATTTTCATCATCGGAAAATGATCTTATGACTAGGTTCCAGGCCTCTATACTCCATATATCATCCAAAACTATCAAATACCTCTTGCCTTTCAGTTTTCTATACACTTGCTCTAATAGTTGGTCATTGCTCAAATTACTATACATTGCCTTTAGAGACGGTGTACCAAAACTTAAAACATCTAAAAGCATTTCTCTAACATCATATTTTTGAGAGACAGTTACCCATGATGAGACATCAAAGTGATAGAATACTGATGGATTCCTAAAAATGCTTCCGGCAAGAGTTGACTTACCAATACCGCCCATACCAACAACTGAGACGACATTCAGCTCCCGTGCATTCCCTCCAATGAGTTGATTGAGTACCTTGTTGAAGACATTCTCCATTCCGACAAATGTATTTGTGAGCGTAACTGTGTTAAAACAAAAAATCAGAAAACTGTTAGAAGAATAAAGAAATGTATAAAATAGTAAAGAATCAGAAATATTCCGAGTCCACAATTTTTCTTGTGCGTCCTTAAAGAATTTTAACCCCCTCACACGTTGCCAAGGTAATGGATTAAATACTCCCAGGATAAAACGGAATAAACCTTCCTGCAACAGTGGCAATACAAACTGCAGGATACCTGTATTGGGAAAAAACTGAATTTATATTAAAAATGATGTGGCATGACACGTGGATTAGTTG